AGAGGCGCAACAGGTAGAGGACGAGAGAGGAGGAATGGCTGCTGCAAGGCTGCGTAGCTCTGGAGATTGGTGGTGTACCTGTGAATGCTGTGCCCCAGTGCCCACAGAAGAGGAATGCCTCTGTTGCAAGGAATGGGACCGGCTGCAGCCTTATTTTCAAGGTCTGGATGTGACCGAGGACAAGACACCTCCACCTGGAGTAGTATCCAGCTGGGCTTTATCTAGAGCTCGTGAGATTTCAGGCACAGTATGAGATCGCTGCTTGTTCTCCCGATATTTCGTTATATAAAGTTAAAAAGCTATAAAGTTGGTTTGTGAGCCGTAAATAAAAACGGAGAAGAAGAAGAACAACAACAGCTGTCTAGAAGAAGCTTCATTCGAAAACAGAAGCTTTGAATGTTAAAAAAAAAAACAACCCAAAACAGCTCTACATCAATAACTCACTGCCTCCTACCTTGTGCTATCTCCAGCTGCCTCTTGGCGTCTCCCAGTGCAGAGAAGAGGTCCAGTTTGATCCTGGTCTCAGCACTCAGGCTGTTCTCCAGGTGCTGGGTCTTCTCCTGCATGGCTGACAGCGCTGACATCAACACCTCTGTGTCCTTCTCATTCTCTTTATACTTCCTCAGCTCCTGCACATCACAGCAGAGGGAAGAGACATGAAGTGAGATGAAGGTGCAGAAACATTTACTCCTCGAGTATATTTGACGCTAATCAAATATTATCATAAATGACTTAACAGCATCATTTTCTGAACAAAGCTGAGCTACATGCCTAATGCATCACAAGCACAGGGGGTCTAATCGTTTAATTGCATCACTTACTCAAATTAAAATGTCATGTAATTTTAGTGAAGTGATCACATTTGTTGTTGTTAGAAATTCAAGTGCAGCAGCAGCTTGTTAATGAGAGCGTATTCCCAGCTACAGTCACAGAACTCAGATGATGTATTTTAGTCTCTTTAATGAGCCAGGAAGTCACGATCATGAACCCAACGAATTATCTTATCAGAAAATGAGTCATGCTGTTCCTCCTCACCTGACACTTGCCCTCCAGATCCCTTATCTGCTCCTCCTTAAGTTTCATGTCCATGCTGAGCTTCTTACACTCCGTCTCCAGCTCTCTGATGCGACCACGCAGAGAGTCCGTCGACTCCACTCTGTTGGCCACGAGACAAAAACAGCAAAAGGTTATATTAGTAAAAGTTCCCTTTGATGACACAAAGCTTGGCTAGATACACTCATCTAACGAGCACCTGGTGGCAGCAGCTAATGCCACGGCTCTGGCAGCAGTGGCCTCCTCCATCTTCTTCCTCTTCCTCTCCTCGGCCAGCTGTTTCTCAGCGAGGGCTCGAGCCTCCTGCTCAGCCTTCAGCCTCTTCTCCAGCTGGGAGATGGTCTGCTTATCCTTCTGCTTGGCCTGGACGGCACTGTGGAGCCTGAAGTACAGAGAGGAACATGGTCAACCTGGCTGGATCATAAGATGAACACACTTTGCACTTCCACTGCTGCAGTCTCTGTCTTCCTCCTGGTTTGGTGGCAACTATGACTCAAATTCGACAATAATGTTTGCACATACAGCCACGATTTAAAGTGGTTTAACCTTCAGGGTTGTTCACTGATAACAAACCATTACCATGACACTAACAGAGACAGCAATGTTTGTACACCAAGGCTCTTCACTGATAAAGGTTATAGACGTAATACCCTTTCAACTCCTGGTGCTGATCTGTTTTCTGACACAGCCTGGCAGTCACAGTTGATTTGCTACATCTTTTTACCCTGACAGCAGTGTACGCCAATGACATCGAATTCACCAATGAAACAATGACCTCACATGAGCTTTTTTAATATCGTCATAAAAAATGTTCTGCTGCAGCCACATACAGCCAGTAAATTGTGCTTTTAACGGGTCCAGTGAGCTCCTCCATAACTAAAGTATAGTCAGGCTTCACCTTCAGGGCTTCCATTATCAAATTATGTTTGTCTCTTTTATCATTAAAAGTTGAATCACACGGACAACATACGACAAACTGTGACTGCTTTTTGTGGCGTTTTATTTTGTGAAGAATTTTCCATTTTAATGGAGTGCTCGCCTCCCCACATGCAAATGTTCCACCATTGCCACATCCTGGGCTTAGCGCCCAGCGACCTTCCTCAACATACTGACAAGAAATTTATTTACGGCATAACGGCATAGGTGAGTATACCGTGTGAGTATACTACCCATGTACCCACTTGTTCTGTAGCAGCTCGTTGTCCTGGCGGAGCTGGCCCAGTTCAGAGCGTAGGCTGCGGTCCTGGCTGCTCAGAGAGGAGAGCTGACTCCGCAGCTCTGACTCCAGCTGCCTGTTGGCCTGAAGATCTGCCTTCAGACGCTTCACATCCTGCTCCAGCCTGTCAGAGAGAAACCACGACAGAGGCAAACACGTCTCCTGTCACCAGTATAGGAACAATTACGTCATTATTGTGTGCAGGATGACGACTGTGAGAGTAAGCAAAGTCGTCTTGGCTTTTATCCATCAATCAAATGTTAAAGTGAAACCAAAGAACAAACCCAGTGAAACTGATGCTGGAAGACATTTACAGCTCCGCGTTAACAGAACGTCAGAGTGTGTCTTACCGTACGAGCGCGTCCGGCTTGCCCAGCTGGTTGTTTGGGATGCAGTTCTCCACTGGATCCTTCTGCCCCTTCCCCGCCCCCTTCTGCTTCTTCTCATTCTTATTGGTGGAGGAACCCGGCGGCACGCTGCCATTTGAAGAACTGTGATTCCGTGGAGACGAGTTGGGAATGTTACCCCCGCCTCCGCTGGCATTTTTGTAGTTCTTCCCCGTCCCCCCCACTTCCTCTTTGGAAGTGGAGTGTGTGTTGGCGTCAGCGTGTGTGTTCTCTGCTGCCAGGTCGTTATTCAGTCTCTTTGCTCCGACGTAGTTCTCTATGTACTCTGTCTCCTGTAGTTTGGAGTCCAGTGCGTGTATAATACTGTTGTTATTGATTCCAATTGTGTTTTGTTTTTTGCCCTCGCGCTCTTTGCCAGTACTGTCCTTCCCTTTTTCCCGGTACTCCAGTTCTGGTAGCGGGACTGAGGTGCTTTTCTTTCCAGGAGGTGCTCCGTTTTGGGATATTACTGCGGGTTCTACCTCGGAGATCCCTTTAGCTAAAGCAGCTGGAAGAGAACAGATGTAGACGGTGTTACGAGACACATACAGATGTTCCTGACATTAACCAAAAGCCAAGGCAAACCAGAAACATATTTGACCATAAACACAGACTGAGTGATGGTCTCTGTGAGTGACACAAATCAGAGAACATCCCTGACAAGATTCATATACAGCAGGGACAATCAACTTGCTTTGCCTGGGGGCCAATTTTGCAAAATGGCAGGAGGCCAGGGGCCAAATGCAACAGCTCTGCACAGGTCAGGTGTGCACAGGGACATTTCTAGAAATTGAGGACATCTGGGGCATGACCGGGCCTCTGTCAGGGGCGTCTGGGTGGGTGTTCTCCTGGCACCTATTTCTCAAAAACAAGCTCTGTTTTGATGCTTTTTATTCACTCTTTTTGTACAAAAAGTACAAAAAAATCCCAGTATGAATAAATGTATTCTCATTATCAGACAGAAAATAGTTGTGGGGCCACCCAGCACCCTATCAAGGGCTGGATATGGACCTCGGGCTGTGAGTTGAGTATCGCTGATATACAGCTTCATGCCAGCAGGCTGTTACAGGAATACTTGGCTGCTTTCAGTTAAATACAAAACAGACAGAAAAAAATTGGGGTGCATTTACACCAAACCTGTTTGATGCAACTCAATCAACTCTGGTGCATTTCAGTGTTTGGTTTGGGCTGTGTCGGCCAGTGTGAAAGCTGGCAGCTGGCAGAACTCTAGTACGGACAAAACATCCAGGCCGAGACACCTGAAAAACTAAGGGTGCTGTCAGCCCTAGAGTGGTCTCCTTTGGTCTGAATCAGGGACTCATGTTGTTCCAAAGTTGTATAATTGCCTAGAGTTGGTTGGTGTTCTCACGGCAGCATTTACAAGAGGACCAGATCAAATGCCTTGTGTGAGAAAGCTGTTCTTGATTGGTCAGAATTTCCATGTGGGAAAAATCCAGGAAGTAAAGCAAACGTTGAAGAAGAGTACACTTGCAAGATAAATGTGACACTTTCTAATGTCACAATGGAGGGACAACTACGCAGGTTGATTTTAGCGCTGCTCATCGTGGACTATATTGCTGTCTTTGTTCATTTTAGTCAAATCATACAGTTTGAAAACGAGGCGCGGCTCCAACTAGAAAACAATGTTTTGATGCATTGGATGTGCTGAATGTGCATATTAAGGCAGTACAGGAGGAGGTGCACATTAATAATCCTCCAGGACTGTAACATGCTCATGTTTAACCCAAACAATGTGTCATGTGACTGCAGTTGCTTCACATCCAGGTCGGAACACCTTCTCACCACAAACCAACTGCACCAGAGTTCCTTTGGAACCGGACTGAGGGGGCAAACAAACCTGAATTCGACTGAACTGAACCAAGTCTTTATAAATAATTTTTTCCTCCCTGGATAAAACTGCAAATTCTAGAGTGGTCTTTTACTGTGACCATCCCAAGGCACACCTGTGTAGTATCGTTATATGACACACCTGTCGGGTCGATGGATTATCTTAAAAACGGAGAGGTGCTCACTGACACTGATTTTAACAAATTTGCAACCATAATTTGAGAGAAATTAGTCTTCTGTGTGCATTAAGAGTCTTAGATCTTTAACTTAAAGCTCTGAAAATTGGAGCAAAAACAAAAGCGTTGTGTCTACATTTGTGTTAAGTGATAACAAACCCCTGTCATCCTTGTTCCCAGTCAATGAGTGAACTAATGGCACAGTCTCTACTGTCTGTTCTGTAGTACGATTTGTGTTTTTGTGTGTGTGTGTCTCACCCTCCTCTGCCTCCCTCTCCTGTCTCTGCAGCATCTGTTGCTCCGGCGGTAAAGCCTGCTGTAGAAGCTGCATGTAGAATTCATTCTCCTTCTGCACCTCCTTCTGTTTCCTCAGTCGCATCTTGTAGCTAACGTAGCTCTTAAAGCCGAAGCCCAGAGTCACCACAGGGTAGCCGATACTGGGAGGTGAAGAGAAACACAAAGTTATCTTCCTTTTTACCATTTATCATGGGCATTAAAAGAGCAATGTGTGAGGTTTACCAGTGAGCAGCGAAGGGTCGACACAGGTCTACGTGAAAGTTCTTCAGATCTTTGAACCGTATGGCAGCTTCGATGTACACAAACAGGATCCACAGCGATACAGTGGGTAGACAGACTCCTCTTTCTGCATGAAAAAGTAAGAGACAAGAAAAGACAAATCAGCCCTCTTGAGTCTAGTGCTGGGAGAAACTTGGCAGCCGTGAATTTCTTGTGAGTCTTTTAAGGTGAAAAGTAGCCGGTGCACTGGCAGAAAAATAAAGAGTCCACAGAAAACTTGGACTAACCTGTGTGCCAGACATACTGGACCCATACGTAGGTGCTGGCAGCGAAAAACAGCCATTGGACTGGGATGAAGAGGAGGCAGATGATGTCCGACGTAAACGCCACACATACGAAGAACACAGAGAACGCCTAGGTGAGGTAGAAAGAGGCAGACAATTAACAACTGTGCAGGATTGCTGTAGCATGTGTGCACACAACTGACCCAAACACACTCAAAGAAAACTTGTCTTACTGGTTCTCCATCCACCACTACAATTTTTAACAAGCATCTCAGCTCTGCAAACTGATCTGAGTGTTTCTTTGCTGCATGAGGGTCATACGAACAGGCTCTTACCAGTCCCTGATATCTGAAGGAGTCGTAGACGCTTCGAATAAAAAGCCAGAAGGGCCACAGGTACTCAAACCTGAACTCCAGCACGAAGTCGGCCAGCAGAACTAACACCCACACTACCAGGAACTTCAAGTACAGGAACGTACTGTGTGAGAAAGAAGACAAGACAGAGAAAAAAGATGGAGAAAACAGTTAAACAGAATGACAAGAGAAAGGGACAAAGAGGGGAAACGACACAAGGTTTAACACAGGTGTCCAGACTTTTTTTGAATGAGGGCCAGATTAGATCATGTGACATAACTGGGGGTTTACTTCAAAAAATCACATGCAAATGACACTAATGCAATGGTTTTATATTTCAGTGACAAAGTATTCAACTTTCCACCGCTCATGAAAGCAGCAGCCCTTGCTGTTGACTTTGTTGTGGCCACAGGGCGACTGTGGCTCAGAGGTAGAACGGGTCGTCCACTTATCCGAAGATCGGTGGCTCAATCCCCGGCTCCTCCAGTTTGCATGTCGAAGTATCCTTGGGCAAGATACTGAACCCCCATTTGCTCCCAATGGCTGCTCCATCAGTGCGTGAGTGTGTATAAAGGGTTACTGAGTAGCAGGTGGCACCATGTATGGTAGCCTTGGCCACCAGTGGGTGAATGTGACATGAGGTGTAAAAGCGTTTTGAGTGGTCGGAAGACTAGAAAAGCGCTGAACAAGTTCAGTCCATTTACCATTCACCATGTCTGCTACCTAGCAGGAAACACCTGGTGTCAGGTGGCTGCTTATTTGCCGTCTATCTATGAAAACACACTAGTTCTGCCTGAGTAATTTCTACTTGGTGCATGTCTACTAACTGTAGGACTGTCCTGCCATCGTGAGGTGAATGAACAAAAGTGATCTTGCTTGACTTGTAGTATATTTTGAAAGACAGGTTGTCGCTGTTCATGAACTGAATTTTCATTTTACGCTGTCTCAAATGACATCCAACCGTCTGTTATGGGTTGGAATAAGCTACGGACAATGACCACAGCTGCATTTTATTGACTGGTGAGTCGGGAATAATATGAGGTGCTGTCCAGTTCCTGCTGGGGATCATTGCTGTACGCCGATCAGAGGCAGCTGCAGCGTGGAGTCGCTGCCCGTGTTCCAACGGGATGGTAAATGAACCACACTTGTATAGCACTTTTTACGCAACATGTCACATTCACCCATTCACACACACTCATGCACTGATGGAGCAGCCATCGAGAGCAATTTGGGGCTCAGCATCTTGCTCAAGGATACTTTGAAATGTGGACTGGAGGAGGCGGGGATTCAACCACCGATTTTCTGATAAGTGGATGACCTGCTCTTCCTTCTAAGCCACAGCCGGTGGAGCAGCCATCCAGCTGTCAAGGACAAAAATGCAAAGTTATCCTGCTTGATTAACCAGTGTTGTGTTAATTATGTAGTACATTTTAGAGGACAAGTCAAGGGTTGTTTAAAATCAGTCTGCAGGCCACTCAAGATGTTATTTAAAATCAAGAACACCAAAATGGTACATACGCTAGCTAATCACAAAATAAATTATGAAATCCAATTTGGACGTGACTGGTTCAGGTGGGATCACGACAATAATCAGGTTAACAACAGTCTAGTGTTCATTAGACATCTCCAGTGTGACTGCAGTGTTACCTGAGGTTCTTACTGAATATAAAGGTAGATAAATGCAGATTAAACAGTGCAGCAGTGAGCGTGCATACACATGTAGGTGTCACCAACAAGTCTAACAATGTGTTGGTGTTATCAAAGAAACTAAAACAGATAACAGCTGAGAGACATCTTGAAAAGCAGAGGAAAGAGAGGGTTAAACAGAGCATGCATGTGCAGGGTGTCATGTCTGGACATGCTACCTGAAGCACACCTGGTGTCCTATGTTTGGCTCATCATTAATCAATCTATAGGAAGAGGCTATTCATTTATGCATCTTCTTAAACTAAAGAGCTCCTGACATGTTCCAGTGAGCCTCATCTAACTCTGGTGCTTATTGTGTCCCTGCTGTGTTAACATTTAGACCTCTCTGCCAGACAAAGCACAGGTGAGCGCCCCGCCGCCGCCGGCGTCACCCCGCACATCAAAACGAGCGCCTCTGACACTGCTGCTGTCACAGCTCGAGCTTCATCATCTTCTTCACAAGTTCAACACGTCTGGTTTTAACTCAGCAGATTTACACTGAGCGGGACGTGTTAACATTCACACTGAGTCCCACACACACCTTTCATTTTGATTCAGCCACTGTTTGAATTAAACCATGACCGAACAGCACAACAGTAACGTTAGGCCTGACGGTTAATTGTGACAATACACGGGTACGTTCATTTAGCTCGGTGTGTGCAGCTCCAACCAAAGCTAGCTTAAATATACATGTAGCCTAGCCTGGCAGCGCTGTCTTGACATATGCAGCGAGGCGCCATTGTTATACAATAACGTCCCTCCAGCCCCTTTTCTCTACCTGCTATATATACCCTCGGTGATTCGGTTCCGTTTTAACGGCCGTCGGAGTTTGCTGCAGTCCGCATTGCGCCGCTTCATCCTCCCCCTGTTGATTCACCGGTGCTCTCGGTCTGGTAACTGTGACTGCAAATGTCATCCGCTCATCCTAACGTTCACACTTCTTCAATTATCCACCATTGTTGTTGTTTTATGAACATGAAACAAAGAAATAAATAAAAACATTCCCGTGAAGGCCCTCCCCTTTTCACGACACGCTGCGTCGCCGCTGCCGACGTCTGACGCCATCACGTCGTCGTCGGCGGAGGAAACATGGCGGCGCCCTGCGAGTGGAGACGTTTCTCTCAGTTTTAAATCATTAATGTTCATTCCTGAGCGGTAAGTGTGATCTTACTGAAGTCAGGTGATCTTATTTAAGTTAATACTTCGATGTTTGTCGTGTTAACGCGACAGGTACGTGAAATAAACCCTTTATCCACATGACGTCAGAAGGTAAAGTTATCCATGCTGGCTCAGCCACGTTTGTTTTCAGTCCTGTTCAGGCTTTAACCACTTTGTTGCTCCCTCAGCAGAGATGCACTTTGTTTTAACGTTTATTCAGCTGCAACATCACATTATAAAAGCACTCCGTGGTGTAACACGAATGTAGGCAAGAAGGCAGCTTTATTTGTACAACACATTTCACACATCAGGGCAATTCACAGCGTTTAACAGAGCAATAAAATATGACTTCGTAAAGGATAGAGATTTACAATAAAAGACCAAAGAGAGAAAATACATACAAAGTAAAATTAAGTACTAAATGATTTACAATAAAAAAGTAATCATTAAAAATGGAAGAATATGATAAACTTTATTTATATAGCACCTTTCTTTCCAGTATGTCTCTCTATGGTATCTGCCTTTGCAAGGCAACACTGTTTAAATCTTTCTTACATTGTTTTTGATTTTAATACTACAAATTATGTGTGTATGGCATCCAATGTGCAGGTGTTATCCTGTACAGCTGTACATACCCATACATAAATTCATATTCACATATTCGTTTTTCCATATGTGCACAAGTGAAAGTTGTAAATAGTATTGAGTGTATAGTTGTGTCTAAATTTAGTGTCTGATATATATCTTTTTGTATTTTATCTTTATTCTAAAAGTATTCTATTGCCATTCAACTTGCTGTTCTATCCTGCTGTGTGGACAATTAAGTTTTATCTTATCATATGTCATCTCAAAACACCTTTACAAAGTGCTGTACAATCAAACTAAACAAATTTAAAACATCAGGAGAATAAAACAAATAACATGTCATAAAATGTCATCTAGTAAAAGATAAAATAATGAAGGCCAAAGCTAAAATCAAGATAATAAATAGGAAATAAAGTCAATAAGATAGAAATAAAATAGACAGACAGCTCAGATAGAGTCAGAATATGCTTTCTGATAGAAGTATGTTTTTAGTAGAGACTTAAACGAAGACAGACAGCCTTATAATAATAATAATAATAATAATAATAATAACTCTTTATTGGACAGGGACAGTGCACAAAAAACCCCAAAAACATTAATCTCAGATGAGAAAAGATGCTTTCTGTCCGATTTAGCTGTCAGCTACTTTTCATCTGAAGTCCCTGGGTAGGTACGCACAAAATCTAAAAACAACATTGAATACAAAACATTCATACAATATAAAATCTCAGGCACACACGTCATATGGACAAATCTACAACATATATATATATATATATATATATGTATATATATACGTATACATACATATCTCCTCGGACAGTTCGTTCCAGAGCCTTGGGGCCCTGGCTGCAAAAGCTCTGTCCCCTTTCGTCTTCAGCCTGGACTCTGGGACTAGCAGAAGAAGAAGAAGATCTTAAACTATGCAGAGGTTCATAAGGGACTAACAGGTTTGAAGTGTAATCTGGAGCCACAAAGAGCATCTAATGTCATCAATAAGATTTTAAAGTCAACCCTAAAACTAAGGCACAGACAAGAGGTGCAAAGGTAAAAATATTATTCAAAATGAAGTTTAAAATGAAGTTTAAAAATAAAGTTGCAGTCATTACAGGATGGAGCAGGTAGTGTAAAAAACAAATGTGTTAAGCTGTGAATTAAAAGTGTTCAGAGTCTGGACTGTGTAACATCATCTTCATCATCATCATCTGGGAGGTTATTCCATGTTTGTGCTGCATGATAACAAACTGCTGCTTCACCGTGTTTTGTTCTGAATGGAAAAGAATTCACTTTCAAAACTTCAACAATGACTGTCCTCAGTTCCCAAACACTCACTGAGTGTTGTTAAATGACAAGGTGGTGTCACACAGGTAAACATGCTCCTGTCCTAATGTTTTTGGAACGTGTTGCAGGCGTCAAATTCAGACTTACAAAAAAACAATAACGTTTATCAGTTTAAACATTAAATATTGTGTCTTTGGGCTGTATTTAACTGAACTATGTTGAAAAGGATTTGCAAATCAATTCTGTTTTTATATGTACATTATACAGTGTGACAACTTTCTTGGATTTGGGGTTGTTGTTTTCACTGTCACGTGTTATATTGTGGTTGTTTCCAGTGAAGTGAGTTACACTCAGTGACTGATCCAAGACTGGCTTATGTTTCAACAGATAATATTTACCATGGACAAGACAGAGAAAATGGAGCCATCTGCTGAGGAGAAAGAGAAGGAGGAGGAGGAGGAGATCGAGGAAGAAGAAGCCAACGAGGAAGAAGGACAGGATGACTCCGGAGATGAGGAAGAAGATGATGAGTCAGATGATGAAGAACAGGAAGGTGAAGATATTGAGGAAAAAGAAAAAGAAGAAGAAGCAAAGCCACAGGCCGCAGATAAAACTGCGAAAAACATTCCATCAGCTGTTAAACCCAAAGCTAAAAAGCAGGACAAGGGCCTGAACCTCAACAACGAGGTGGTGAAGATGAGGAAGGAGGTGAAGAGGGTGAGGGCGCTGATAATCAGGAAGCTGACACGACAGATTGGCGCTCTGAAGAAGAAGAAGGGGAAAGAGATGGAAGTTGAGAGGAATCAGAGGAGAGCTGCCCGACTGGTGGAGGAGATCCACGCCATGAAGGTCCTTGCACCAGACCTGGTAGGTTTCCTAATAACAAGTTGGTGAGCCTTTTTCAAAATGGTGAGACAGCTGCTGAAATGTCTGTCTGGATAAACTGTTTTCCCTGTCTGTAGGTGACCAAGACAGCCTTGCAGAAGACTCTCAACTTTGAGGAGGTGTGCAAAAACCCCAAGTCTACCATTTCTGACCGGGCCATAGCGCGCATCGCCACCCACCCTCAGTTCAACAAGAAGATTGAGGCCATCAAAGCTGCTGTGAAAGCGTTCAAAGAGGAGCGGATGAAGGAGCTAAAGCAGGGAGCGAAGGAAAAAGTGCAAAATAAACCTGGGAAGGGGACTCCACAGTTACCAGACACAAAGATAGAGAGACAGAGTGAGAAAGAGGAGGAGGACATTACAGTGGAGCAAAAGGAAATCAAAGACATTAAGGAAGGAGACAGTTTCCTTAAAGACACTGAAGATGCATCTGTAGCTGAACCTGAAGAGGAAACAGTGAAAGCAGCTCCTGCAGCTGATACTGCTGATGGTCTGAGGGAAGAAATGCCAGAGTCTAAGAGTGTGAGACCAGCGTTAGTAAAGAATAGTGAAGTAAAGGACATTGTGAAAAATGAATGTCCGAGTAAAGGTGCAGAGAAGAAACCCAGTCGTAAGCCCACACCTGAAGTACATCAGGAAACGAAAGACGAGGAAGAGAGTGATTTAGAGTCTTCAGATGATGATGATGATGATGATGATGATGAGAAAGAGTACTTTGATGACAGCACAGAGGAGCGTTTCCATAAGCAGTCCTCCCAGTCTGAGGAGAGCGACGACGATGGCGGCTTCTTTCTCGGAAAAGTGAGCAAATTCAAAAAGAAGAAGAAGCAGAAGAGTGAAGAAGAGGAGAAAGCTGAGAAGGCGGACCAGGTCCCGAGTGAACTTGATGAGCTTGAGTCCAGGCTGAAATCAAAAACGACCTCGCTTCAGACGGTTTTTTGTTCCTCGCTCTCTGCATCCAAGCCTGGTGGAGGCAGAGGTGCAGGCAGAGGGAGAGGTGGGGATAGATTTAGGGGGCAAGGGAAGCCGAGAGGTGGTGGTGGTCAAAGTAGAGATTTCAGTAAACAGTCCAAGTTCCAGACGCAGGAGAAAGGAGCACAGAGGAGTCCAGGGTCCAAGTACAGCAAACCCTGTCCTGAGGGCCGACATCCTGAGTCGCCAGAGAAGGGCTTCTCCTCTGTGGGCAGAGGGAGGGGGCGAGGCAGAGGTGGTGTCATCAGGCAAAACGATCGCAGGGGTGGAGGTGTCTTTTCCCAGCAGGCACCACAACAGGCACTGCATCCATCCTGGGAGGCCAGTAAGAAACGGAAGGAGCAGCAAGGACAAATCCTGGCCTTCCAGGGGAAGAAGATCAAGTTTGATGATGATGACTGAAAAGATTTGTCTTTGTTTGTTAATGCTGAATACATATTTTTGGTTAAATGTCTTATTTGGTTTATCTGGCACACTAGTAAAGGTTAAAGGTCGTCTCTTTGATAGTTGGATGCTCAATACCAACTGTGTAGCAGGGTGTAAACTGCTTTTTCATTCTTATGGCTGGTACAGGACAACTGACCCAGAGATTTTTGTGTAAAACATCAAGTGAAATGTGTTGTTAAAATATTTTTATTCCTAAATATGAATTTAACTGTAAGCTGTGAATTGCATCACCTGAAACATGTCATTTTTCATATTTGCTACCAGTCAACAACAGTTTGAGGAACAAGCAGCTTGTGTGAATTCCAGTTGTGTGAGAAATGTATAGTTGAGGTTTTTAAAATATATATATATTTATATACCTGTACACAATTTCACTGCCTTGTCCAAAATCATAATTATGGCCCTACTGTACAGCACACAATCTCTGAAACTGATGTACAGTGATAGACATGATTATCTCCTGCAGCAAGACCTTAGATCACAGGCTTTTCCCTGTTTTGGTACTCGTCACTCACCAATATGTGTTTAAACAATATAAAAGTTCATGTAGTCACAGTTTTAATGTGCTGTACTCTTGTCTTTACTTCATTAAATGTACAGTATTATAAAAAGGTTTTGTGGCAAAGAGCAAAGTGAAGCAAACATGGTCTGAGTTTGGCTTGCTCCTGAGGGATCTGAGTTCTCTTGAGTGTTCACATATGTGCAAAAATGCTGAGTCACCGCTCTGAGTCCATTGAGAGGGCTGAAAAGGACCAAGTGTGAAAACACCCTAAAACACAGAGCGGTTTCGACCCTAAGGCTTCATCAGGGTGCAGAAGGATGGACAGAGGTCAAGTAAACATTGACAGCAATGGATCACAATGAGAGGCCATTTTGAAGGTGATGCGCCTCCACAAGTGTTACAAAACAAAACAAAAACCATCCAGCACAAAATTGCTGCTACCCACCTGCATTCACCAGTTAGTATAATGGTTGTATAGCTGAAGCAAAAAGAAGTGGAGGTGGTGGGCTGCCCTGTCTAGTACTCCTCTCTACTTTGATTTCTCCAGAGAGTAATTGTTGGTATAAATCTGAACTGTAGGATTTTTATACAATAATTTAACAAAATGAATCAACCTTGTGCTTTTTTGGATATTGTATGATACTAAAACATGTTGTATTGGTTTGCAAATACCTATTTTAATAAACCCTGTTTGATTTACGTGAATTAGATCTGGTAAAAACTTTGCTAATGTATTGCTTATTACTTTGATTAATATTTTATTGTCACAGTTAATTAAATGTATTGCTCAGTAGTCTGAGGAGGATTCTGCTGACTCACCTGGTTTAATACAACAGAGACTAGGAAGGACTTAGTATCTAGACATGTATTTTGTCATTTGAATGAATAAGGGAGACAGTTTGCTCCAAGATGTTGAATGAAATTCCACAGGGTAAGACATTTCATTGGGGATTTGTTTCAAGTTGATTGTGTCCAAGAAAGAACTTGGGTTTAACATGTTTTTTTTCATGATTTATATATGTTTTCATAAAGGGATTTGAAAGTATCGTTAATAAGTCTATTATTCCTGATAAATACATTTGAATCCTTATCTTTCAGAATTCTGGTCAGTTTGGCTTGTATTCATTTTGTAAGAGCTGCCAAGTGCTTACCTGGTTTATTTGCCATTTATAAAAATAATAATAATAATAATAAAATGAAAAAATATGTATTAATAATACTAATACTACTACTGCTACTAATATTAATAAAATTATATATTCATACATGTACATAAATGGTTTTCTTGACTCCTTTTGCACCCTGATGAAGAGCTGCGGGTTTAAACTGGACGGTGTGTCAATGACAGCAGCCATGTTCTTTAAATAAAGATGTTTTAACTTAATTTAAGTACATTTGTTCCTCCATTTGTCCCCAGCATGACGGCCTGAAGTAAATTTTCACTAAGAAAACTATTCCTTGCAGAGTTCTGTCGCCATTGGTCGGCTGCAGTTACGTCAGACGTACATGGAACTGCGTACGTAAGTGATAGCCAATAGCAGCCCACATGCAAATATGGTTTAAAACTGTCCCGGGAAATGGGAGCTCTCGTGCTGTATCATTGGCGGCTCTCTGCCACCTACAATAATATTTATCCGTGTTATTAATGTAGATAATTTAATAAAATAGACACGACTCGGCCTGATAGATGTTTTATAAGCGGTAGAAATAATAAAAATGGTTAATTAACGGGATGTCCTCGGTCGCGAGGGCTCTGTCGATATCAACGCGGGATGTTCCGAGATTAGCTTCACCGTGCTGCCCACCGGCCCTCCGTGCTCCCTCGGCAGGACGGTGACAGCGACACTCCGGTTCTTCGATCCGGTACACCTCCCGGAATATCAACAACCGGGACAGGGCGGAGATTAAAGCCTGAACGAGTTAAGGCAATTTAAACTGAGCAGAATTAACTAAGTGACAAAGTTACGAGGAGCTAGTTTAGCTTAGATAGTGGTTAGCTGGTGTGTGAGGTGGTCGCTAACTTTAGCCTGAACTGTCCATTAATTATCTGAGTTATGTTACTATTAATTTACACACAGCATCAGCCATGTTATCTGGTTAGTTAAAGTAATGTAACGTTAGCAGACGTAACGTTACAGCCATTTTATTACACATCCGGATGTGTTTACTATTTAACCTCTCCGAGCTTGACCCTCTCGATGGTTCATGTCTTTCAGACAGAGTTGTTTGCGTGCTAACATTTATCTAGCTACTTGTGTGGTTTGTTAAATGAGCCACTTAGTCACATAGGGGAGGTCTGTGTGTTTCCTTAGTGACATTTACCTCCATTATTAACTCGAAATACAACTTCAGTGAGCTGCGTCAAGCGCTCGAAGGCTTACCTGGCTGTAACCGGAAGCATTAAAGTTCTCTTCAAAATAAAGGCACATTGTACTGACAGTACTCTGGCAAATTACAAAGATTTTAAATGTGTGTTTTGAAATATAGAGATCCTGACACAAAAGTAGACAAAGCACAAAACCTGATTAAAATTTATGGTTGAAACGTATTTATTTGTGCTAAATAACGTCTGTAGTTTGATATGACATACACGTGACCAGTTTTAGCAACAGTAACAAGCTAAAAATGCTGTTAATTAGGAAGTACTCTTTTGAGGACACTGGGACTTTATTATTGTATTATCCCAGCATTTCACACAGGTCAATCAGGTGTGACAGAGACTGTTCCTACAAAAGGACATCCATAGACTGGAGTGCAGAGCGGAGAAGTGAGCAGAGTTACAAAATGAACAAATCACAAGGTTGTTGCATTATAATGGTGCATTATATGCAATTTTGTTTTTGCACAACCACGTTCAAGCACAGTTTGAGACCTGAACAGTGACCTCAGATCCAATGGTTCCCGACTGGTGGGCTGCGTCCAAACTGGGTTGCGGGTACATTCTGAATGGACTGCAAGTAACTGAAAATCACACTTTATTTAAAGTACAGTTAATATTCAGCACAGAGCTTTCATTTTGAGGTGCAGTTTCCCAGTGTAAACTGAGTGACTACATACAACTACTTAACAGAGACAGCAAACTAGCTTGACACGGCCAAATGCAAGTGTGGTGCTGAATGTATTAAACTGTGTGGACCTTGAACTAATGACTGAGGAGAAATCTGGACCCCGTGGTTGGGAACCACAGCTCTAACCCATACAGTTAAAACTCATTTAACAATTGTTGCATTGTTTGAAATTTTGATTTTGCACAACAGTGTTCAGGTATTTAAATAAACATATTTATTATTTCTTACATGTTTGCAGCTGTTAAAAAGTAATCCATTGTCCCTATATGAGGACACCTTTTTTTCCAAAACCTACCTCATGTTTAGAGACAGCGCTTAGTTTTTATACCTTAGGCCCTACATTCTCAAATAGCCCAGATAAATTTAAAATGTATCCCAAACAAAAGCTGAGGTCTTGAAAAAGTACAGCTGTGCGTTCACTCCATGCTTTTATTCTGAAAGTGAATTTACGAAGCTCCGGCTGCATTAACGTATATCCGGTAACTTTGTTTTTACCGTTGGCTGGGGCATCACGCTGCACCTCGTAGGAACACACTTGTGCACACTTTGGTGTCGGAGTGTCTCAAACGCAGACGGCGCTCTGTGACTATCTGCTCTCTGTGGGAACACGTTGGTAAGGAGGGGACTGTAACCTGCACCGTGTTCATTACTGCAAGCAGCAAACTACTCTTAGGCCGTGGGTGAGCGTGGGAGGGGGATGGGGAGATGTTGCTTCTACAAGCTAAAAACACTGCTGAGGGAAGCTAGCTCCTGGCCCAACCCCCAGGGTCAGGACTGTCTTTAATAACGATGAGTAACCAGCTGCAGGTGACGAGATAAACTTTATATTTGCACTCAGAGACACATGCATTGATTCTGATTACATGCAACTTTAGTCTCTAATGAAAACAGTGGATTCATGAGAAGTTTATATGGTATTATTGCCCAAAATGGCTGCCCTGTGAGCCACATGATGCAGTCAGGTATTTAAATGTACTTGTTGCTTTCTTTCACTCAGGCAAAGAAGGCTGGAGCTGGAAGTCAGTGACCCCCTGAACCTTCAGGATGATGGCAGGACAGCAAAAACCACGAAGCCTGGTGACTCTGTGTCCCAAACAGGACCTGTGCTGCGCAAAAGATGTGGTAGATACCAGCCTCTGCAGCTTTTGTCTGTCAGGCCGTGATGTAACAGTTCCCATCTTTTGTTCAGTCAGAAGACTAATTTGTTGATGTGATGTTTGCTGGTGTCAAAATAATCAAATGATTAAAATCAACTCACTACAGTTTGATGTATCAGAAGGACTATTTGAAGAACCTGCAAAGGCATCACTACAAAATTAAAAGTACTAAGTCCTCACCTGTTTTCCCAGCTCCCGCCCCCAGTCCCATAGCTCCCAAGACCCCGTTGAAGAAGGACAACGACACCTCGCTGGGTTTCCTGACGCAGAGGTTTACGGAGCTGCTGAGTCGCACCACTGATGGGGTGTTGGACTTAAACATAGTAGCCCGGGAGCTCTGCACCTCAAAGAGACGGGTCTATGATGTCACCAATGTGCTGGAGGGGATCAAACTCATCAAAAAGAAGTCTAAAAACATGGTGGAGTGGTTGTGAGTATAAGTTGATGAGTGGTAGTGTGTGCATTTTGGAAAAGAGCTGGTTGAACAACACACACATGCACATTATGACTTTGTCAGTGTCATAAGAATGATTAACTATTTAAAGGTTAGCTTTGGTATTTTCTGACCTGGGCCCTATTTTACCTTGTTTTTGTGTTTGAAAGTGTTTCAGTGTTGAGGTCGGCTGCAGTGTCCCTGCAGGCAACTGAGCACCATCAATTCACGTCCACTAAAAGTTCTTGTTTTTGCTACTGACAGATTGTTGTTTAAACTGTCTGAAAACTCATGAAAACGATTTCTTCAGAGGTCGACCCTAGATCCTTTTTGTTTCTCCGTCTCCATCGCCAAACCTACCAGACTCCATTTAAATAAACAGTCATTTTAATGTGCATAGAGCCGTCTTATTATTACATCTAACTGCGTAAGTTAAGGGTTTATTTTAAACAAAGTAGAGTTGATGATTGTTGGAACAATGGAGAGACAAACCGAGGCTGCTTTTGTGAGTTTTGTTTTGCCTCTGTTGACTTTGAATGAAGTGTGTTTTACAGTAATAAAATAACTGTTTATTTGAATGCAGCCTGGTGGGTTTGGCGATTATGATTTTGGGGCTTTTTTCTGGTTAAACAAAAAGGATTTCACTCTGTAGGAACAGAACAAGATGGCATTCATTCATTAATGTAACCTCTTATCATGTTGGGGGTCACAGGCGGGCTGGAGCCTATCCCAGCTGACACTGGGTGAGAGGCAGGATTCACCCTGGACAGGTCACCAGACTATCACAGGGCTGACACATAGAGACAGACAACCATTCACACTTCCCCACCCCGGGTTATACACGATTGCAGCGCTTTCTAAACAACGACAGTGACATAACATGGCAATAACAATCATTTAGTGTCTCTGATGTATGGCGGCTTATCTCGTCCTCTGCTCTGAGGATCAGGAGCTCCCAGACCTCATTGGTTTCCCAATTTTCAGACATTTCCGGCAGCTGTTCTTCTTTGAGTTAGCTGCTGACTGCTGCTAGTGGGTTTTAAAATCTCCTGCTTTGGATCGTACACATAACATGTTGTCAAAATTTCACATGCGTAACTTCCATGGTGCCGTCCTACTAGCTGTCCCTTTTACATAGATCTTCTTTCAGCGTCGTTACCACCTCCGATGCCGGCTTAAAGGCAAGACAACTCTGTACTTGTGATTGTACCTACTACTACTGATAATAACAGTCTGAGCCTGTGAGTGGCAAATATAGTGCCCAGTTTCCCTGCTGCCTGCAGTCTCTTCTGGTACTGGACTAATTTCAGAATTTCTTGTCTCCATTGGTCACAAATCATCAAAAAAAGGGTCCAGGTTGAAAAATACCTAAGTTACCATTTACCAAGCAAACTTAACAGTTTAGGTCCAGGTATACATTATTATATAAAAGACTCGTTCTCTCTTTAAAGATGGTATCAGCTGCTGACTCGTGGCTCAGACTTAAGATCTCAGACTTAATTTAGTGACTGTATTATTCTCTGAATCGTTGGCATTATTGTTTTTTTGAGTTGTCTTATTCTGAATTTAATCATGATCAGCAAAGGTCGATCTTCAGTTTGATGTCAAGTGATGTTATTTGTGTGGTTAACCCGTATGTGTGTGCACAGGGGCGGTGAAGTGAACGTACACATGGATGAGGAGCTGAGGGCTCTGGTTGAGGAGGAGAGGAGGCTGGATGAGTTGATCCAGAGCTGCACGCTGCAGGTTCATCAGCTGTGTGAGAACCAGAGCAGTCAGAGATATCCTTTAAGTGGAAGTTCAGCCTTATTTTGTTCTGTTGTTGAAATTCACATTCAGTTAAGTCAAATAAGTGTGAAATAATTAGTGATGGGTCTGAAGGCCAATCCAAGCCAATAGCGTGTTTGTTTCAGTGGGGATTGGATGGATGAGCGCCTCCCGTCACTCCCACCAGTGTGTTGCCTATGATGATAATATTGGGTTTAGTCATGAGTATATCCCCAGCAGCACACAAACAGCAGTCTAGGCTGATTATATTCTTTAACCTGGAGGATCACATTTGCCTATTTGACTTATGAGGATGTCCAGAGGATTCCCAGCTTGAAAGAACAGACTGTGATTGTGATCAAAGCCCCTGCAGAGACAACACTGGAGGTGCCACACCCTGAAGAGGTACATTTTTCAACATAATCACTTAATTACATCTTTCTTTTTGTAATGAGACTCGATATTTTGACTCTGAAACCCCAGCCTAACAACACAGGGTGGTTAATTGCCTCACTGATGCAACAAATTACATTATGTTCTTGCCACATCCTCCCAAGACACTGTTCACTGTAAGTGTCTGCTGTCGGCTCGTGTTCTGAGACCATTTAATAAAAGCTCTCTGTCTGTGTGTCTGTGCTCAGAGCCTCCAGGTCCACCTCAGAAGCACACAGGGGCCCATTAAGGCCTTCCTCTGCACTAACGACCCAATCCCTATGGAGACCTCAGACAGCTCTGGGGCCAGTGGTGCCAATGGCAGCCACTTTAACACATCCGCCAAAGGGACCAACTCTGCCCTGCTCGTGCCTTACCCGGCCTTCGTCCAGGTGTCTGCTAAAGGTGAGTGTCACACCCAAAGGTGCAGGAGTTTCCTAAAGAACAATGTGTAGACTCAAACAGAAGTAATCCCTCTCTGTCATCACTTATGACCCACCCTCAGTGTGTGGTGGTGTATCTGTCTGCAGGGTCTCCGCCCTCTGCCTGTATTCTCATATTTCCCTCTTATTTCCTGTGTTTGGGATGTTTATGGGCGTGTACCCCCACAGTGCTTCATAAAATAGTAGCGCCCAGGTGCTGTACCATAAGCAGCAGGCATCCAACAGACAAAGCACTGACAGATATAATATAGTGACATGAAACACCCGAACGAGAGCGAATCTGGGGTTGACTTTTACGTTCACTTCCCGACTGACTGTGTTCACAAACAGTAACTGACAGTCCTGCATAGTTTACCTTTAAGATAAAATATCTATCATGTCTGTATTGTATACTTACATTTTCATTAAAAATTTCCAACAATATTCAATCCAGAGACGTGTAATTTATTTAAGAAACGATGAGTTTTATTTGGTCGCCTGTCAGTGGTGCCATCTCCCCTTTACTCCCTCGAGATGCTCTAAGTTCTGGCAAACACTAGGGTTGTACAATGATATCGGCACGTCATTAGTATAGGCTGATATTGGCTTTAAAATGATCAGAATTGGCCAACATGCTTTTTCTTATTTTGCACAAAGAATGAATATTACATACACTGAAGGGGATTGTATTTCATGTCTCCATCTGCTGGTGCGCCGTCACAATAAGAGTATGTATGTATAATATGATGTTAATCCACGACAGAAGAGACTTGATGGTCACTAAAATTAGACGGGGAAAAAAGTGTGTATATCTATTGGCTGTTGGTCAAATGAGTTGTTATATATCGACATATCGGATATCAGCAAAAAATCCAATATCATGCATCCCTAGCAAACACCAGGTGATACTACTCATGTCAGCTACTGCTCACCAGCTCATATTATTTCTACAACAGTATTTTGTGACACAGTAATCCAGAAGTGAACTAATTTATTGTGATATTTCAATATTGAGCCAGCTTATGTGCTGCTATGACACGCAGTTCATGCCAGCCACCAAGCTGATGCATATGATAAGTTAATGCGTACAGACCGCCAAATACTTTTGTATTTTTGTAACGTTTTAAAATGGGTGAAATCCTTTTTTGAAGGTAGATCTGTGCACATTGAACCAATTCTGGTATCTCATAAGAATAAAGCAACTGTAGAAGATACACTAAGCGCGGATTCAGCAACTTTAAAAACCTTGGCTGGAGCATTAGCGCTATGCCATTTTGACTATGCTGCCACCTTCTGGTATAGTGGCACTGCACAGTCTCTTAAAAACAAACTGCAGACTGCTCAAAACAAGTTAATTAGAGTTGTTTTGAAGCTGCACCCCGCACTCATTTGGATTTAGTCCATTTCAAAACGATTAATTTCTTAAATGTGGAAAAAAGGGTGGTGCAGATTAAAATGGGCATTGCCCACAAAATAGCTTTTAAAAATGCACCTCCCTACCTTGTTGACCTTTTTAATCCAGTGAGAGCTACACACTCTCACAATACCAGAGGCAGCCAAACAAATTTTGTTCCCTTGAGATTTAAAACCAAGTTCGCGAAAAATACCTTTTCATACACTGCAGCTTGCCTGTGGTGTGATCTTCCCGTTTCTCTCAAATTAATCTCAAATGAGAGAAATTCAATCTTAGGAAATGGCTGACTAATTGAAGATTCTGTTCTTTCTGGTTCCATTTAAAAAAAAAAAAAAAAAAAAAAAAATCACATGTTTTTAAGGGGTTGTTTGTTTTTAACTATGCCACTCTTGCCTGTCATTGACACAATTGCCAGCTTTTATTGTCATCGAGGACCACAATGGAAATAAGCCTTTGGGCTTTATTGTGTATTTTAATCCTCAACGATTTTTAATTAATGTATATGAAACTGATCTGCAGTTACTCATGTATGTTTTTTAATTGTTGTCAAAATAAACCTACCTATCTACCTTCTTTAAGCCCCTCCTTGGCCTACCCTGTATCTCGGTTTATGGGTACGCACCATTATCACGCAGGCACATACCTGCAGTGCGCAAAGTAGGTGAAGTCTGCATACCGTTTGGCAGGCTTTGTAGCCACTGGATCTGCTGCTGAATTTCAGCAGTGAGAGGGCGTATACGTCTCCACGATCACATGGCTCGCACAAACAAGTCAGGGGAGTGATAAGACAAAGCTGATGAATGTCATTGAGGCTGACTTTAAGTCATACTGTGAACATTACAGGGACAAATATTTGTCCCGTCAGTGAACATGATTTCTGCCTGCGTCACATCAGACAGACTTTCATCTGTAGTTGTTTCACAATGAAGACACGACTCCCATGATTAAACGTCACTTCGTGACATCATCAAAGCCCATCTCTTGTTATGGTTTTGAGTGAGAGAATCCCAGTGACAGAAATGACATATTGTGTCTTTAAACATCACATAGTCTGTTTAAACACTTTTGCAAAATGGTTCAGTGTTGCCTCAGAGAAGGAGGCCGTGGGCTTTTTGTCCACACAGGAGCTGTATAAGCTTCTGTATTTAGCTCTAGAGTTCACTTTAGCTCAGTTCACCTTCTGGCCACTGCCGAGGTGCCCTTGAATGAGGCACTGAATCTCCAACTGCTCAGGGCTCTTGTTCAAGGCACTTTGCTCGCTCTGACATCTCTCCATTTAATGCATGTATAGGTCCTGTTTGTGCATGTGTGTGTATTTTGGGCCCGTGTGTATGACAACAGAGTGAAAAATAAATTTCCCCTCAGGGACTGATGAAGTATATCTTCTACTTTTTCTTCTCAACACTGCTTTCAGATTGTTGGCTCACATTTCTTTTGGGTTTTTGTTCTTCATCGCTCACCTTTTGTTTCCACCCCATGTCCCCTTATCCACACCCCACTATCTTTCCAGACAAAGCTAACTGTACTTCTGGAATCAGTCGTACCTTCAACCCGCCGTCCGAGCCGACACAACACACGACACACGACATGCACACCTCCCTCCAGCCCTCCTCTGAGGAGCAACAGAGCTTTGTCACGCTCACTCCACCTCTAGCGTGCTCTGTCGACGGGGAGCAGCACCTGGTGAACCTGGCGGAGGATCAGGGCATCACTGACCTCTTCTCCTCTGTCGACCTGGACCAGTCGCACCTTCTCTGAACAGCTGTTATCAGACATTTTGGGCGCAGTTTCCATCTCCTCACCAACGAGGATATCAAGAGGATACAATTAATTAACTAAGTGCTGAACTAAATGTGAACTTTTTTAGTTTTATATATACATTTGCCAATCCTGGAGGATGTGACTGGGATTTACTGACACTCAGGTATGTGGTGGCCTGGAATCTTTTCACGGCTTCCTGGCTGTCTCTAGGACTTGGACTGACATGCATGCTGTTATAAAAAAACACAGCTTTTGTTTGTTAGATTGTTGGGTTTGGGATGTAGGAGGTGGGGCTGTATGAGGTACCTATTTACAGTCAATATATTACCTCGATGCACCGTCAGTTTGGATAACAGGCAGAAGTCCCAGCAGGGAAGCTCAGCATTACATTGCTATGGACAGAGGTCGACATCAGAATGTATTTTCCAAAACACTGGTTGGTGCTGGAGGTTTCTGTGAAGTGCTGTAAAGTTTAGTTGATTCAAAACACACATTAAACACACATTAAACATGTCTTAATAAAACACACATTAAACACACATTAAACATGTCTTAATAGAGACAGTTTCAAACACAAATCAGCTTCACTATAACTCGCAGCATTCACAGACAAACACTTGTCTTTATCTGGACACATTTTCCCCACAAATACAACATGCTAATGTTATTAGCACAAGCCTATGGCATTTTACATTGTATAAATTAGCCTAGCAGCTAGCAGAGATTTCCTCTGCTCATATGAAGCCAGGATAAATCACACACAAGACTTAAAATGCTATTTTTGTGGAGGCTTTATTGTCTTCACAATTTATTGTTTCTTATCTGTGAAATTAAAGTAAATCAAAGCTTTGTTTCCACTGAGGGAAATGGTTTCAGCTTACAGAGACAGACAGGAGGTCTGTGTCGCTGTGACGCTGTGGATGGCAGGTTGCAGCGTAAGTAATCTACGCTCTCACCATTAGTTTACCGACTGTCAGCCACTGACAGTAATACACTGACTGTAGAAATGTACCTCATGCAGCCCCACTGCATAAATCCTGAAGTATTTTAAGTGTCCTTCTCGGGGGTTCGGAGCATTGCTGTCTGAGCGCAGGACTTCTTCTTGACCTTTGACTCTTTATCTGGAAAGATGACATTTTGTATTGTGATCACAAAGGAGCACTTTAGATGCCCAATTAGGTGATTTAAAGCATTAAAGTGTAAAGAACCTTCATGTTTTGTCTTGGCTCTGCTTCAAGTGACACACCGATCCAACTTTTCTCACCTGATACCGATTTCCAACAACTCTCAGTTTTTGCTGACACCGAGGGCCGATCCTATTCCAGTGCTGTCTTGTTTGCACATATAAAATCTGTGACCTCTGTGTGGAATTTCCTGGAATTTTTTTTTATGTAATGGTAATGTGAGGCCAGTGAGTGCTGTAGCACTAAAACCTGAGTTGGCCGGTGCACGTGCCGTATCTTTAACTGCCTGGAAGACACAAGGTCAGGCGCAGGGTGTTACTCTTGTGCTCACTGTTTTTTAAGACTGTTTTTTTCTGGCTTTATGCCTTTATTTGACAGGACATATTTTTAGCATGAAAGGGGGAATGACCTGCAGCACAGGGCTGCAGCGGCAAAGACACCGCCCCTGCACATGGGATGCCAGCTCCTGCCGTTGGGTGCCCCAACTCTGTTTAAAAAAAAGTGTGGAGACAGGATGTGTCTAAGATTGCAAAAAGACCATAACCAGCACCACATCATAACCTACTTACCAAAGATCCTGAGTGCAGAGCTGATCTTCCAAGTATTTCTGTTGGAGTGTGTATTACACCTAAAATATCGGTAGCCCTATTTAAAATGATCTTCATATTTGCCACACACTGATATTTTCGGGAGAAAGTATGGCTGTAATTTGTTTGTTCACATTACATGTGGTGTGTGCTGCTGCGTTCCAGAAGTCGAACTTCATTTACCTCAGGGCTAGCTAAGCTGTTGAGTAATCAGGAATGCTGGTGCGTCGTGACAGCATCACTCTTACTTTTGAGTGTGCCTCCAAAAACATCGACATCCAAAACAACAGATATGAGGGCGCAGAAATGCAGCATGTGTACAGGCCCTTAGATTGAATATGGACAGATCACGTCTTTCCTGAGACCTGGTCCGTTTACTAAGGTCTGGATTGTCTCCAGTTGTGTCTTCAGAGTTTGTTCAGGATGATACTACATGTTTAATTTTGTAGATTCAGACTTCATCTGCAGAAAGTTTTCACTGAGTTCGCCATAGTTTGACATTTAAGCTTTTGTTTTTTTTTAATTCCTTTGTTGTTGGGAGTGGTTTGAAAACATGCTCGTACCTGTTCATGTCGCCTGTCTAACATTAACACTAGTGACTTGCAGGTAGTGTAACGCAGCCTGTAGCTGTTCAGAGGCATGGACTCGTCTACTGACAGCACACTGAGCAAGTCAAAGAATTAATATAAAAACCTGCCCTTGTTTGCAGAGAAATGTGCAGTGTGACCGCTGTCAGCTGAGCTCAGCTCTGATGGTGTCACTTTAGGGCAGGTGTATTTTGAGGACATAGACATAGGTACAAGTGTTTACCATTTGACTGAAAACGTGCTGCTCCATGTAGCTTCTCAGAAGTGCAAAAGATGAAGTGCACTTTAAATTAGTGTTTGAAACTCTTAACATGTTTTGTTGGAATGAAGCAGTGACAATCTTTTACTCATTTGTTTTTCTTTATATTTCCTCTCTGCACCAAAAGTTGCCACCGTCAAATCTGAAATACTTGCCAATTAAAATCCACCTCGAGCTGCTGAACAGGTGTTCAGACTGAAGCTGAATAACACTTTGTTTTTATCACATGTCTCCATGGTGAAGGGAGAATCTGAAATAAGATGAACTTTCCTCACGAAAGGAAGTCTTTGGAGAGCAGACTGGATAACCAGTGCTACAAAGCTGGTTATCAACTAGTTCAGTCAACTTTGGGGTTTTCTATCCAGCCACGAGCGTGTTCATGTGAAAGAGGCGGGGTGTTAATTATGAGTGACATCATCAGAGCCATGAATGAAGGAGGCTGCTTCATATCATATGAGATGAAACAGTACTGAAAGTGTCTGTGACTGTCAAATGTCAGTGGGATGGAAATTATACTCTGTCATCTTATAACAAAAAATGTGGAAACATTGAAACACTATCCAAGAATACACCCTCGGCCAAGACTTAAATGACGTGCAGGTATCACTGAGCTGTATGTGACATTAGTACAGAGTATTATTTGCTGTTCAGTGTGATAATGATGAAACTCCTCTGAATGTGTCACATAGAGACTTTAAAGTAACACCAGACTGTTTCTGCTGCTGAAGTAAAGAGTGGAAAAGTAGTTAATGACTGACGACGTCTGTCTGACTGACGTGTGACATTTATAATAACAGGAGCTGATTAACAGTGTGTGGATTATTTTACTAATAAAATATGATCCGTTTTATCCTCGTTCTCATCACACAGGTGTCTCATGTTATTCTGAGCTGCAGTGATGAATCACAGTGTCAAATATCAACACTGTCACTGCGACTAATATAAACTTTGCATCAGTTAAAATCATGTGTTCAGTGTGTAAACCATCTCTGTGTTTGTTACAAGCTGGTTTAAAACCAGTGGAAATAACGACATGATTCTACTGACCTATAACAACATACAGGCTCCTCTTTTTACCTGAGACTCTGGCCCATGGATACTTTATTCTTCGCTGATCCAATGGGTCAGAGGTTGGGGTGTTGAAGTTAACCTTCTCTGGAGCAGAAAAAAGAGAGAGAAAGAGAACCAGCTCCATGGTACTGAAAACCCAGAGTTAACCCTGAAGTTACATCGCTAACTCCAAATCCAGCTTTGTAGTGCAGACCTCTCGTTTCAAAGGGTCACAAGTCTTGCAGTGTGTTGGGCATTACCTGCAGAGGAACCCTAGCAGAACCTGCTGTAATATATATGTAGACACTAGGAGGCAGTATCATCCCACTGATTCTCTGCCACCATCACTAGGATGTTTTGAAACCATGTGACAGTGTTAACCATCTCTCACTGAGAATTTACTGATACTTATTTGCCATCATATGGATTTAAGTTGAGAAATTTAAACCCAGTGGAAGTCTGTTTGGCCTCCATGACAGCAGGAGTGTTTAGTGTTCAAATTAATGAGTGCAGAAAGTTTCTAAACACCAGCGTGTGGTGTTTTGTTTGACCCACATCGCCTCAAGTCAGTAGAGCTGCAGCGGGACAGACACCTGCTGACATGTGACAGCTTGTTCTTTCATTGACGTCTGAACCTTTTAGGCATTACTGCTGATGGATTGCATTTTGAAATAGAAAATCAGGCCGGCCCATGTCAGAAGAAATGCTTCTGTTACGGTTACATTAATAAATAGAGGCACATTAAGCTGAAAACTTGCCTTTAAAGCAGCAGTAGAGAGCCCAGTTAGAAACCTGTGAACAGCATTGGCTCTGCTGACCTGATTAACATTCTTTTAGGCTGGTTACTGTACGTAGACAGGTTAGTGTATCTAAGATAGTTGTGATAAATTATGATAGCAACACAAATATATTCACCACAATTTAAGTACACATTAGTGAGATTCAGTGACACAATATTTAGGTTGAGATCTGTTCCTATAATTTTGAGCAGAAGCAATGTTTGGGAATGTGTGGAGCCCAGGTGGCTTTTATTGCCAGCTGATTATCAAATCAAATTTTTGTGAAATATTCAGATGTGTAAAAAAACAGAGTCTGAACTTCAAACTTCAGATTTTTCCAGTATTTGTCCACACATGTAATTTTCCCTCTCTGTCTCTAGAATACAACTATCTCCATCCTTGCCTCTCTTTGTCTGAGCCTCAGCATCTTAGAAAAACACATCAGTGCCTTCAACATGATGATGTAATCTGTCGGCAGCCTGCAGCATTACCACCTGTCCATAGATGGCAGCGTTGCTCCTCAGAACCGCCTCTTAAACCCAGTCAACCCAGTTCCCCACAAACACTGGCACACACGCTCCGAGTTCATGAAGAGTCACTGGATCACTGCTATTATTGATTCATGTGTGTTTCTGTTGTTTTTCTGTCCTCTCTGTGCCACTAAGATTTGCACATGAAAAAAAAAGTGAATATTGAATTGGGTCATATTGAATTAGGCCTGACGTCAGCTCCCTTCCCGTCTCAGGAGGGCTCGTTTAAAGATCAGTCAATATGGCTGTCAATCAGCCAATCAATCGCTCAATGAAGTTTCATTTTTAGAGTGCTCTCCCCCCGTCACCTACAAGCAAATGACGTACAGGAGGAGCTTTTAAAGCGCTCGACATAACACACAGATGGCTGGGCTTAAAGGGCGAGACACAACTAAGTCACCGCTTAAGACTCGACCCCTGAGGGGGTTTAGGAGTGACTTGGAGCAAGTGCGATCCTCTCTGGAAGTGTAAGTTGACAGTGCGGTCCAGCTGTCCCCTCTCCCTAAAACACAGCACTTGTTCCTACGCTGCGCTCGCTT